TATTCAGGTACAATTTCACACATAGTAAGACATCATCAAACATGAAACAAACATCTGCGAATTTTTCGATACTCAACAATGATCAAGAATAGTAGAACAATCGTCCCCATACTATTTTGTGATCATTCTTGAACATGCCTCCTGCAGAAGGACATGCCCGACTGAAAACGCGAGTTTTTTGAGATCCCCGCACACTCCCCACGCGGAGGGGCAGCAGGAAGGGGGCGGCCAGCTCGGAAAGGGGGGGGGGGACGTCGAGCTGGAGCCGACGAGACATCAACCCAGACATGATCGCATCGTTAACAAAAAAATCAGGACGGGAAGTGTTCGGCGAGTTTCGGCCCAATGGGGCCCTCGCTGGGCCTCGGGACCGTCAAACAACGACTCAGGACGAAAAGCTGGTCCTGGGGGAAGGGTCCGGACTTCCAGGGACGCCGTCCTGAAAAAATCAGGACGTCGCACGTCTGGGAACGATAGATCGGCGACAGGCCCGACGGCACATCGCCATGCTCCTGGGCGAGGGTGGGCTAGCCATCGGGCCCCCAGCGGCGGTGACCGGGTGAGAGGGGGCCCGGGGACAGCCTTCGGACTCCGAAGACGCTGGCCCGCCAGGCGCCGCGATGCTGGTCGGTCACCGCCAGGACTGGAGGGCACTTCGGAGACCAATGTCATGTTCGCCATCACGCCCGTGACCGGCCCCCGCGCCCTCCTCCCCTTCCCTCTCCTGGTCTGGCCACGGCTCGCGCCGGAGCCGCCTGGGAACGAGCCATACTCGTGAGCATGCTCCGACGGCGCAGGCGCGAATCGTGACGTGACTGTCCCCCTTCCGCCCCTGCCTCCTCCCCCCCCTGTCACGCCTGTGATCGGCACGGGATGCAACAATGGGGTCTTGGCTGGTCGCTAACTCGATCCTCCTCCTCCGTGAGCTGCTCGGACTTCACCTTCTCCTGGAAGAGCGCGTGCAGCTCGCCCCACACGGCCCGCGCCGCGGGCGGCAGCGCGCCCACGACGTCCGAATGCAGCCGCGAGATCTGTGCCGCCAGCCGCTCCGCCTTCAGCTCCGCGGTCCTCCGCGGGTCCTTCGGTCACGCGCCCACCCAGATGTCCGGCGATCTGTTTCCCGGCGGAGTCGGGTAAAATCCCGTGCCATCCGGACGGAACTGGACTAAACTGGACTGACTTGGACTGAGCGGAACTGACTGAACTGGTAAGGCGCTTCTGACGACGCACGTCAAAGCAAGCGCGGAACTGCAACCGCAACCGCAACCGCAATCAAGCGACACGTTCCAACCCGCCCGCAGGGGCAACCGCAACCGCAACCGCAACCAAGCCACGCATCTCGACACCCGCGCGCGCAACCGCAACCGCAACGCGACACATTTCAGCCCGCCCGCGGGCGCAAACGCAACCGTAACCAGACCACACATTTCAACCAGCCTGCAACAGCTGTTTTAAACAGCGGAAAACACCACGACGCGACGCGACAGCATGGACAACAGCACTGGGCTCTCGTTCTACCTGGCCTTGAAAGAGGGACCAGAAATATCGTTCTGAGCGCTTGGTACACACGGAGCAAGCCCTGGTACATGCTCCACAATGGATGTCTGCTGCCATGCCACAACCACAAGATGGCGGCAACAAGCTGTGGCTATGTTGCTTTGCCCTTCAAGTCGAACTCGGGGACCAAGCTCCGTGAATGGCCAGGTGACCCACACATCCCGACAAGTACTAAGTAAACAACTACATGAGAAAGCGGGGGCGGGTCAGGAGGAAGAGGAGGAGGAGGAGGAGGAGGAGGAGCAGAAGGAGGAGGAGGAGTTAAGGGAAGGGGCGCTGTTCGGATAACCCCTGTGGCTCAGACGGCCACTTCCACAACAGCGCACAGAGGAACCCCGGAGAAGAGATGGGAGGAAGGGATGCACTGCGGAAGGGCACTCAAAACATGGAACATGCGCCCACACCTCTGTCAGGACATCCGCGGCCACGGGCGACGGCCAGGCACGACCGTGCAATGTCATCGTCAAAGGGAATACGCCGAACGACTACCAAAACGTCCGGCCCGCGCAACCCTTTTAGTTGTCTAGCCATGGCCGGGCTGAGTCGGGGAGGAGGGACCGAGAGGGCCGGGAGACGGAAGGCACAGGAGGGAGGGGAGATAGCTCCGCCAAGTAGTTGCTACCACAGCTGCAAGATCAGCGTGTGCCGCGCAGGCCTCGAGCGCGAATTGTGCCATGGACTCATCAGCGTTCGTTGTCGAACTGTGGCGCGCGGCATTTGGTGCCGCGTAGAGGCTGTAAACTGCGAGCGCTCGATGCGCGAACTCATCGGAACATTGGAAGTGCGTTCTGCAAAAGCCGGGGGAAGAAGGAGGACAGCAGACGGGCGCTCTGCGGGTGGCGGTTGGGCCAGGCCGAGGCGTCGCCTGCCGAATGTAGCGACCCCGCCACAAAAACTGCAGTGCTCGAGAGTATCCTCGCACGCACCACACCCGAAGACGCAAGGTGTCCTATTCTGCATGCGGCAGCCTGCCGTCCAAGAGTCGCAAAACGCTCGCAAAACGCAAGCCCAAACACGAGGTGGCACTAACCGCGCCAGCCCGCTCAGCATGGCAGCCGCCTGGTCCACGCGACGACCTGGAAGAACACATAGCGGTCCAGGCAGCGGTGCAGGTGTCGATGTACGCACTCGAGTTGCGGAATGCGAAAAACATGCGCGCTGTTTTTTGCCAGCGCTCCTGCGGCGTCGGCTCCCAAGCGCCTCCGTGGAGCAGTTCCTCGACCGACGCGCTGGCATGGCGCGCTTTCGAGTGCAGCTTGCCGCTGGCGGCGTGGAAGTGTGTCAGGCAGTTGGATTCGAATCGTGTGTTCCACGTCGCTTTGCGGAGGGTGTGCGGCGAGTCCTGGATGAGCGTGCTCAGAAACAGCTCCCGAGGCCGGATGAAGAGCCCTCCGTGAGCGTGGTTCTCCCAGCGGTGCATTCTGCACTTGGCTGCCGTGTAAATGATGCGGGCGTCCGTCAGCTCCGCCGTCAAGCCGATGGACTGCAGACTTCGCCACACATCTGGAGGCGCCAAATCACGGGGACCAGGGAACATAACAACACAAAGACGTTTCTCAGAAGCGTCCCCACTCGCCGGCAGGATGTCGATTTGCAAGAGGAACGCGGCAACTGGAAACACGTAGATGCTATAAACCCATAAAATCATGAATAAACCGCGGCCGGCAGACCGCCAGAGACGGGCCAACGCGACAAACTTGTCCAATGGTTTTGACCAAGACCGCTCCGCCCGCTCCGGCCCAGCGGCAAAACCCAAGAAGGATGCGTAGCGGCAAATGGTAAGGCCGCTCCACGTCGTAGCCCTGGCATGCAGTTGCGCCCTGATCGCGTCCACTGGGCCGAGCGCAAGCGGTAGCCGCGCTGTTTTTCCATGGTGGAGTCGAAGGCCAGAGATGCGCGCGTACTCCTCGAACATCAGCTCCAAGACCGACGAGTCCCCAACGCCGCGGGCCAAAACGACGGCGAGGTCGTCAGAGCAGGCGCGCGGGACAACATCGGAAAATACACGCTGGAGGCGCCGCAAGAAGGCATGTGACAGAGTCGCGAACAGTAGCGGGGACAGGAGGCAGCCCTGGCGAACTCCTGAGGTGAGGATGAAGCCTGGGGAAGTAGAGGATCCCATGGTAACGGTGTCGCGCCAACTCTGCCAAGAAAGGGCCCTGAAGAATCGAGCGCGCCACGAGGGACAACCGCAAGAACCTCCAGCAAGAACTCCGGACGGACGCCGGGGAAGACGGCCTCAAGGTCGAAAAACACCGACGCCAGGGGCGACTGCATAAGGGAGCTGCTCAACACCGCCTCCTCGAAATACAAGATATTAGACAGTATTAGCCTGCCTCTGATGAAGCCGCGCTGGGTCATAGACACCCCAGGTGCAATCGCAGGCTCGATGTGCAAACGAAGGGCGCTACATATTATCCTATTGCCCGTATCTGTGATGTTCAAGGGGCGCAAAGCATTAGGCGTCAGTATGTCCACGCCGTAGGCCCTTCTTCGGGAGGTAAGCCATGTTGCTCTCGTTGAAGCTGTCCCAGTCCTCTTCCAAGATACGCTGGCCGTCAGAGCATGAGATGGTGGCGAAAGCGTCGTAGAGCGCGAAGGCCCGAATCGGCCCCGTTTGCACCATGCCTTGAGCAGGATGCAGTCTGTGCCAGGGGAACTGCTGGAAATGATAAGAATGGCCTTCTGTGAAAATCTCAAACGGGACGTCAACCTGAGGCATATGACGAAACAGATGGGGTCCCCATGACGGGCCTCCTCCGTCAGCTCACGGTTTCGCAGCTCGCTGTCAGTGACCTTCCGCCCCAAAACGTAAGACCAATGCTCACGGAATGTACTGGCGATGTGCTCTGGATCCGTGCAAGCGTGCCCATGGCGATCAGAGAGTGCGGAATTGAAAAATACATACATCCCGGAGCCAAACGCGCGAGTAGCCGTTGACTGCGCTGCTGCCGCCGCGTGGTCTGCTCTTCGGACAATAACTTCAACTCGTCGTGCAACTTGTTCAACTTAACGGAACCGCAACCGAAACCGCCACCGCAACCGGGCGACATATTTCAACCCGCCCGCAAGCGCAACCACAACTGCAACCGCAACTGGGCGACAAATTTCAAACCGCCCGCTTGCGCAACTGCAACCGCAACCGCAACTGGGCATCACATTTTCACAAGCCCGCGGGCGCGCGCAACCGTCACCGCAACCAGGCGGCGCATTTCCACCCGCCTGCGGGCGCAACCGCATCCGCAACCAAGCCACGCAATTCCACCCGCCCGCGGGCGCAACCGCAACCGCAACCAATCGACACATTTCAACCCGCCCGCGGGCGCAAACGCAACCACAACCAAGCGACAAATTTCAACCCGCCCGCAACCGCAACCGCAACCGCAACCAAGCGACGCATTTCAACCCTCCTGCGGGCGCAACTGCATCCGCAACCAAACCACGCAATTCCACCCGCCAACGGGCGCAACCGCAACCGCAACCAATCGACACATTTCAACCCGCCCGCGGGCGCAACCGCCACCGCAACCAAGCAACGCATTTCAACCCGCCCGCGGGCGCAAACACAACCGCAACCCGGCGACACATTCCAACCCGCCCGCGGGCAACCGCAATTGCATCCTGGCGACACATTTCAGCCCGAATGCGGGCGCAACCGTAACCGCAAGAGGAGGAGGAGGAGGAGGAGGAGGAGGAGGAGGAGGAGGAGGAGGAGGAGGAGGAGGAGGAGGGGCGCCAGGAACGATGTAGGCTTTGGCGGTGTGAGCGTTTTTTCCGTTGTAATCCGCCGCGCAAGGAATATGTACGCTGCCGACTAAAAGGAAGCTGTCTCTCTTGCATATCCCTCGTATGAGTCTGTTGCATTCCACCACAGAAGGAATACCTTTGTAATGCGCCAGTTATGCCGAATTCGGCATATAAAAGATTTCCTTAGCGGCAGAATGCAAAAGGATCCCCGTTCCGGCGAAATACAACATGATTCCCTTTGTGGCAGAATGTCAAAGCATTCCGCCCGTGGCGAAATACAAAACAAAACCTTCTGTTGTGGATTACACAAGGATTTGTTTTGTGGCGCGGTACAAAGGGAATCCTCTCGTGGCTGAATGCAAAAGGGTATCCCTTGTGGCGGAATGCGCAAGGATTCTTTGTGGACAAATGCTAAAACATTCCTTTTTGTGGAAAAGTACAAAGGCATCCCTTTTGCAGAGGATTGCTCAGGGGTTCCTTCTGTGACAGAGCACATAAGGAATCCGTATGTGGTTGATTGCCAAAAAGGATACTACGTGGCGGACTGCAAATAACATCGTTTTCATAGCCGGATACACAAAGGCCCCCTTGTGGCGGAATGCAAGAGGACCCCCGCTGTGGCAGAATTGTCAAGAATTCCGGTTGTGGCGGGATACTAAAAGATTCCTTTTGTGGTGGGTTACTAAGAAGGATTTCGTGTGTGGCAGGACGCAAGGGGAACTCTTATGTAGTTGATTATCACGGGATCCCTTATGTGGCGGAATGGAAAAACATCTCTTTCCAGGCCGAATGCAATTCGGCCCTCTTGTGGCGGAATGCAAAGGATTCCCTTTGTGGCAGAATGCGACATGATTTTTTGGCGGCGGAATATTAGGAGATTCCTGCTGTAGCAGAGTACAGGGGAATCCATCTGTGGGTGATTACCAAGGGTTCCCAAATCTGCTTCGGTGGTTTGTGAAAATGTGCTATGGTTCCGCCCCCCCCTTCGCGCTCACAGAGGAGATCAATTTGTATTCCGCCTCGGAACGAATTTTTCATTCTCTACCACAACAAGATTTCCGTATCATTCCGCCACAAGCCGAATCCTGTTGTAGTGTGCCACCAAGGGGACCCTCCTTTTAACTCGGCCACAAAAGGGAATCCTTCCGAATGCTGCCTTGCAAAGGAAGTCATTTTGCAATCCGGCACACCAGGTTAGCCGCATGAGAAATAATGTTGTGTTCCGCCAGGTAAGCAACTTGCGTATTACATGGGAATTCCGTTTGTGGTCGGGCATTACACGATCCACTTGAGTGGAATAGAAGAAGGTTTCTTCTTGAATGGAATACATATAAATCCCTTGCGTGGTGGACTACAGAAGGCTATCATTCGTTCTTCCTTTTGACAAAACCCTCAAACCGCCCAGGCCTGTATCGCGCCTGGTGCGGGAGGAGGCGGAGGTGGGCGTGGAGGTGCAAGTCCTGCTCGCGCCCGTGTGGCGTTGCCCAGGGATTTCCGCAGGGACATTACAGCGGGGAATTCCCACTCCACGCTGATGCCTTTGATTTGTTCGATCTCGTCCCCCAGGTGCCGCTAGGTGTCGGGCACCGTAGCTATCGAAAATTGACCCGCGACGAGAAACGCACTCCAGAGAAGGTGTCGGGACCTCTGCGGTCGCGGATTGACGAAAACGCTTCATCGAATGTCTGGGAACAGGGATCGGGGGAGGTGCCCTCTGAAACGAGAGGTACCCCCCCAGATTTGGCGACAACACAATTCGCTGTCGTAGTCCACCCAGCCTGAGCCCATGACTTCAATTCCTGCGGAGGCGATGGTATGGATGGTGGTGATGATGATGATGGTGGAGATGACAATGATGACGACGACGACGACCCGACGACGACACCGATGATGAAGATGATGATGATGACGACGATGGCGATGGTGATGAGAATGATGGCGATGATACGGTTGATACTACTGATGATGCATGTGGTGGCTAGGGTGGTGATGGTACTGGTGATAATGATGGTGGTGATGGTGGCACGGACGATCATGATGCTGATGATGATGACGACGATGATGATGAGGAAGAGGAGGAGGAGGTGTTTGTGTTGATGATGGTGCTGCTGATGCTGCTGAAGATGATGGGTATGTGGGTGAGGATGAGGATAATGAGGGTGGTGGTGCTGATGATGGTGATGCTAATGACAATGATGATGATACTGATAATGATACTGATGAAACTGATGAAGATGAGGACGAGGCTGAGGATGAGGATGAGAATGAGGATGCTGATGCTACTGAGGATGATGATGACAATGGCACTGACGATGACGATGACGATGATAATGACGATGATGATGATGATGATGAAGAAGATGACGATGATGATGATACAGATGATGATCATGATGATGGTGATCACGATGATAATGATGATGATTATTATGATGATCACGGTGATGCTGATGATGATGATGCTGATGCAGATGCTGATGCTGCTGCTGCTGCTGCTGATGATGATGATGATGATGATGATGATGATGATGATGGTGGCGATGACGTCGATGGTGATGCTGTTGATGATGCCGGTTGTGATGATAATGATAATGATGAGGAGGAAGAACAGGAGGAGGAAGAGGAAGAGGAGGAAGAGGAGGAGGAGCAGGAGGAGGAGGAGGAGCAGAAGCAGGAGCAGGAGGAGGAGGAGGAGAAACAGCAGCAGGAGGATGAGGATGAGGACGACTCCTTCTAGCTCCTTCTAGCGCTGAAGCGCCAAGCGACCTCTTCGTGACCAAACAAAGCTGGTTTGCACGGGACTCGGCTTCAGCCCGTGGGTCCTGCGCGGAGGCGGGTCGCGCGGGCGCCATGCCGCCTCCGGGCAGCGGCCCTTCGGCCGCGCCGCCCCTGGGGCCCTCGGCGACGCCGCCAGCGTCGCCCACGCCCCACACCATCTCCAGGCCCATTGGGTGCTGCTGCGACTGCGAGATGCGCAGAGGACATCCACTGCACCCCACAGCTGTGCCCGGCCAGGGCCATCCCGGGCCCTGGCACGGTGTCCCCGGCCTCGGCCGGGTGCGCCATCATCCTCGGGCGACCACGGGGGCTCTGGCCAGGCACGGCGGTGGCGTACCGATGCCCTCCGCGGAGCGAGAGGGCACCCGTGCACGTCAGGGCCAGCGAGTCGTCCGCGGTGTACTCCAGGCTGTCCCCGAGGCCCGCGCCGAAGGCGCTGCGGTCCGTCAGGAGCATCCCCGCGGCCCGGGCGGCGGGGCCGTCCGCGCCCTCCTCCCCCTCCACGGAGTCCTCTAGTATACAAGACAAAACGCAAGCTCCCTCGCGCCGAGAATAAAATCACGGCGGACGGCTTCGCCTGATTTTCAAACTCTGGGGGCCATCGCCGGGCCTCCGGATAGTCAGCCCACGATTCGGGATGGAAAGCCGATGCCGACGAATGGGTCGAGACCTCTGGGGATCGACGCTGTAAAACAGATCCTGACGTACGGCGTCGGGGGTCGGGGGCCCAACTTCTTGGCGTGCGGAGCGCGCCACTGACGGCGCAGCCAGGGATGGCCTGTGCCGATAGAATCAAGCCGCGCGGAGCTCCAACGGCTTCTGCTTGCAAAGGTCTGCCTTGCTCGAGTCCTCCAGGTCGTGCTCGAAGGACTCTCCGTCGTAATCCTCCTCCACCTCCTCGGCCTCCTCCTCCTCGCTTGGGGCGCAGGTGCTGCTTCCGCCGGAGCGTGCCACAGACGACGATGGCCACGGCGACGACGACGACGACGACGACGGCGGCGGCGACGACGACGACGGCGGCCACGGCCACCTCGGCAGCGATGGCGGCGGCGCATCGGCCTCCAACTCCTCGGCCTCCTCCTCCTCCGGGGCCGCGGGCGCCGCGGGCGCCCGCGGCGGCGCGCGGAAGGGCAAGATCGTGGCCTCCCCCTCGGCCTCCCCCCCCTCCGCGGCCCGCAGCCGCCCCTCTGCCTCCCGGGGCAGCATCGTGGAGCCCTCGGCCTCCGCGTCCTCGGCCAGGGCTCGACCACAACAGTGCTTCTCGCTTGTTTTCGTAGTGTGTTCGTTTTCCTTTGTGTCGTCTTCGCTCCGCCTTTGCTGCACAACGAAGTCAAAACGAAAACGGCCCACGAAATCGCCCAAAGCACCGTTCAAGTCGAGCCCTGTCCTCGGCCTCCTGCTCCAGCCGCCTCAACTGGTGCACCGACGGCACGTTCCGGGGCCCTCGGCCAGCACGCAGCGGCACAACCACGTCGGGGAGCTCGGCCACCTCCCCAGGCGTCCGACGTTGTGGTTTGTCAGTGCGAGGTCCCAAAGGTCCCGACGCCTTCCCCGGGGCCACTCGTTCGCCCTAGATCTGCTTTCGATGGCTCCGGGGCCCTTAGCCCCATAGAGCCCTACATATTTTTATGCCCGTAGCCCTAAGCCATAAACCCTGGGCCCTGGGCCCGAAGCCCTCGGCCCTACCCCCTAGGCCCTGAAATTCCTCATTCCTATAGCCCCTCCCCCAAAGCCCTGGGCCCTTTTCCCCCAAAGCTCTTGCAGTAAGCTCTAACCCCAGGCGCCTAAATCAAGGAAAACGGTTCGGACTGTAAAAACATGTGCGGCCGGGAAGTTTTGCATAGGTTGCATAGCGTGTCGCCGCGGCGGCCCAGGCGACACGCTGTACCCTGCGAGCGGATAGCGTGTCGCTCTGCTCCACGGAGCGGGAGGCTCAGGAGGCTGAGGCCTGGGGACTGGGAAGTGGATAGCGAGTCGCGCGGAAGCGTGGTGGGCCAGAACCGGCGGAGCGACACGCGATCCAAAAGTCCCCGACCATGTTCGTCGGGGAGCGCGACCACAAGGTGGCATATAGCGACCTCAGGCGGCGGCCTACGCGGGCCGCCAGCACGGCACGCTATACCTCAAAAGACGAACGCGCTCACGCGCGACCTTCTGCGGGAAGCTCGCGCGCCGGCGTCGGTGAAGACGACACCTCGTTTTTCTGCGTCGCCCATACTTGGGGGACAAACAATGACATAAGCATAACAACATGGCATAAACATAAATAAAAGAAGACAACAACAAACACTGGCATACACATAATCATAAACATAACATATACCATACACAACCATAAACATAAGCATACACATAAGCATAATCATAACCATTCGCATCGATATACAAGACTATAAAACAGCAACAAACAATTACATAAACATAAAAACTCTGAGGGCCACGCGGATTTCTCGGATCGGCGTTGGACCCCCTCCTCGGCGCGCGGAGCGCGCCAGGGGGGGCGGCGCCGAAGGCGCCGCCAAGGGGCCACAGCGCCGACCCGAGAAATCCGCGCGGACCTCCGAGCTATGATGTTTATGTCGTTGTTCGCTCCCCTTATAAAGACAGTGGAGGCCAGTCTACAAGAACCCTTCCACAGGACACCCAACCCTGATAGACCCCAGGACGTCCGTTGACACTCGGTGTCGCAGCGCCGCGCCTCCCACAGCGCAAAACCATCGACACCCAAGAAGCCCAGGGCACCCTGGAGGCAAGCAGGGTATGCCTTGGCATGGGCCCCCACTACCATACTTAGCAGGGGGAGGAGGAGGAGGAGGAGGAGGAGGAGGAGGAGGAGGAGGAGGAGGAGGAGGAGGAGGAGGAGGAGGAGGAGGAGGAGGAGGAGGGGGGAGGAGGAGGACGAGGAGGAGGAGGAGGAGGAGGAGGACGAGGAGGAGAGCGCGGCCACCTCCATGGCGGCCCGGCGGCGCTCCTCCGCGCCGCCGATCCGCACGCGCGGCGCCGCGCCGCGGGCGGTGGCGCCGCCGCCGTCGGCGGCCCCGGCGGCGCCGGCGCCCCCGGCCGAGCTGGGCCCGGAGGGCGGCCTGGCGCGCCCCCGCGCGCGGGGGCGACGCGCAGCACCTGGGCGCCCGCGCCCGCGGCGAGGGCGCTCGAGGGCGCCACGAGGGTCGGCGGCTCGAAGGGTGGGGCAGGAGCTGCCTCCTCCTCCTCCCTCCTCCTCCCCCTCCTCCCCTCCTCCCCCTCCTCCCCCTCCTCCTCCCCCTCCTCCCCCTCTCCTCCCCTCCTCCCTCCTCCTCTCCTCCTCCTCCTCTCCTCCTCCTCTCCTCCCCTCCTCCTCCTCCTTTCGAGCAGCGTCCAGCGCCTTCTGGTGGGCGCCGTCTGCTGCTTCTGCGACGGGCGCCCCTCCTTTGCTCGCGAGCTGAGGGGCGCCCGACCTTCTCTTCTTTTTCTTTGTTGTCGATCCGCCTCCGAGCTCAAGCTGAGCTGGCGGCCCCCGTCTGTTACACGGGGTGCGGGCCGCTCCCCCCTTCGGCCCGAAGGCTGGGGGCGGCCTCGCCGTGGCGCACGGCGCGCCACGTCTTCTTCTCGTGCCAGGGTCGATGGCTGGCGTCGACGATGCGGTCGACGCCGTCGCTCCTCTTGCTGGCGTCTTTGCTGGCGCTGGCGTTGCCGCCCTCCAGTGTCTGGCCGCGCAACTGAGGACCCTGCTCCTGTCCTCCTTTCTGCGGGCGTCAGCGGTCGGGGGGCGCTGCTGAGGACCCTGCTCCTGCCCTCCTTTCAGCGGCCTCCGTCGGCTTTTCATCATGCCACGCTGCTGAGGACCCTGCTCCTGTCCTCCTTTCAGCGGGCAGTCCGTGGCGTGGCTGTGGTCGTGGTTGACGAGATGGCGGCTCTGCGGTAGGTGGTCGGTTGGTCGTCGGACTCGTTGTTGGGAATGTTGTGTCGTCCATCAGGTCTCCATGCACCGACTTCAAATGGGGTTCTTGGCTATCCCACCTCGTCCCGCTATGGCTAGGGGTCACAGTGCCCTCGGTGGGGGCGAACCCCAGACCTTGTGGTTGCTTGTCATGCGTGCCTGTAGGTGGGTCGTTGAGAGGTCGGCTTGTTGCTGGTGTTGTGATGTGGGTTGGGGGCGCACTTATGAGGCCTCCATGCACCGACTTCAAGTGGGGTTCGTGGCGGCCCTACCTCGTCCCGCTATGGCTAGGGGTCACAGTGCCCTCGGTGGGGGCGAACCCAAGGCCTTGTGCTTGCTTCTGTTGTCGGTGATGGATGTCTCGGCTGCCCTCCGCTTCGCCCCTTGGGCGCTCGGGTAAGCTCCGTCTCCGCCATGGGGATGGTGGGGGTGGCGAGCTAGGGCGGACCGCGGGGGCGCGGGTAGTGGCCGTCCTACCCTCACCCCTGCCCCTCACCAGCCCCCCTGGTAGGCGCGGGCAGTACTCGTCCTGCCCCCCCACCCTTCGAGCCCGTCTCGAAGTTTGAACCTTGTCTCCCCAGGGCAGCCGAGTCGTGCACGCGTGTCGTTTGCTCGTCGGTACGTTGTGCTCCGTCGTTACGTTCGTCTGTGTCGGTCATCGCGTGGGCAGCGCTCCCCGTTCTGGTCTTTTCCGTCAGCGTCGGCCATCGCCAGGCTGGTGGGAGACTCTCGTCGTCGCGACCACCCTCTCGGCTGGAGGTGGCGCTTCGTCCTGAGAAGTGGCTTGCTGCGTCAGTCGAAACGGGGGTGGCTGGGCAGCGCCCTATGCCCTGGCCGACTGGGCAGTGCCTTAGGCCTTCCTCGCAGTCTACGTAGTACGCGTCGAAGATGTTCAGGTTCTGGCTGGTCGGCGCTGCGCTAGCTGTTCTGAGACCCCATCTGGCCACGATGTTGCAGTCGAGCAGGTCGGCGATGGCAAAATCGATCTCGGCAGCGTTTGCTGTCGTCACTCTGTTTCGCAGGTCGTCGCGGAGGCCGTTGTCGAGGATCTGCGTGGCGCCGAGGTCGTAGTGCTGTGCCGTGGTCTCGCTGACCGTCATCTGCTTGGCGAGATGCTGGCATTCGGGAGTCTGTCTGTCTGCAGGTCGACTCGGCCGCGAGGGCGGCGACGAAGGAGGCGCGGGCGGTGGTCGCTGCGAAGAGCATCCGCAGGACCTCTCTGGTGGCGTTGTTGGCGGCGAAGATCTCGTTGGCGATAGTCTCGGAGGTGTCTGGCGGTCCCCAGGGAGCCTCTGGGGTGCGCCGTCTGCTGGCCCTGTTGCCCAGGTCGTCGCTTGTGTCGTGGCGGTGCCAGGTCCGTCGTGGGAACTCCGCGTAGATGGCCGCGATCTCGCCGTGCAGGATCTTCTGTTGTACTCGCCGAAGTTCTTGTGGTGGTGCTGGTGACTGGCCGTCGCTGTGGGTCGAGATCGAGCTGTGGTCCAGGCCGCTGCTGCATGTGAGCCCGCTGTTGGCCATGATCTGCTGGAGGTCAGCGGCCGGCCGAGGGCGGTCGGTGATGAAGACGACCTCCTGGCGCGCGGCTGGGCCAGCAGACGTGCTCACAGGAGGCAGGCTGGGCGAGGACTCAAGCCTGGCGACTACTTTCGGTGCCACGGGCGACGTCTCCAGGAGCGGCAGCGGCGTGACATCGCGCTGGTAGGCTGGCTTGTCGCTGAAGGTCGAGTGGCGTCCTTGCTTCTTGTTGGCGGTCGTGGCCTCGACGATGGCGTTGAAATTCGCGGCGATCTGCTGCTCTGTCAGAGGCTCCATCGTCTGGTGGTACCAGGCGTACCAGGATTTGCGGCAGCGGTGGGCCACCGAGAGGTGCTTAATGAGCCTCGGGAGCGTGTGGTGCTCGGTCTGGCAGCAGTGGCATGCAGTGCCATTAGCCCAGAAGCGCGGGTCCGTGTGGTCGGGATGATCCCTGCCCGTGTGGACGGCCATGCCTTGCTTAGTGGCGATACGGCCGCAAACGTAGCAAACGTGCTTCTGGTTGTTGGTGCCGTCGTGCTGGTCGAGCTCGTCTGTCGGAGCCACTGCAGGGAGCATCTGGATGTCCTTCTGGAGCTTGGCGTTCTGAGCCTGGTCGCGCGCGTGGAGCAGGTGGGCCTTCACCGCCGCCTTGACCGCGTGAATAGCTTGGGCTTCTGTCGGGCCCAGCTGATGACGTCGCAGTCGTACTGGGTCTGGCTGGGCCACCTTTCTCGCGGGAGGTACTTTCGGTGGAATCGAAGTCTTTCTTGAGCTGGCGGCTCCAGGTGCCCTTTCGCTGGCGCTGGCCATCGAGAAGCTGAAGTAGTGCGGCCGGGGCGTGGTTCAGCAGTCGTGGTAGGTATCGCAAGCGTGCTGCCGTCTGGTGGGTGCTGAAGTCGGGGACGCCCGTCCTGGCGACCGCCTCGGCGTCGGCGATGCGTTGATCAGGCGAGTTGGTCTTGGGCAGGGAGGCTGCCACGCGGTATGGTCCCATGTACTTGGCGGCGATGTGCTTGAAGTCCTTCTGAGCCAGGTCGCTCCAGACGTGGTGGTTGTAGGTCACCGAGGATGTCGAGAGCGAGTGGGCGTGCTTCACCTTGGCTTTCTTCGAGAGCTTCTTGCGGCGGAGGATCTGCTTCTCGAGAGGCCGGGCTGCTCCGAGCGCGCGGTTGACCCTTAGGCAGATCTCGGGCCCCATTGCCCCACCCGCCGCGATGATGGTCCCGAGGGCTTTCTGCTGGATCACGAGCTGCACCTTGATCGAGAGGCCTTCCAGCTCGAGGTGGGTGATGCCCTCCTTGGCGATTCGCTGTTTCTCCTTCCTGGCTCCCGCGCCGTAGTGCATGAGGATGGCCTTGGTCTTGTCGGGGCGTGGCTTCAGGCCGTGCTGGAACGCTGCCGTGCAGAGCCTGGTGGCCGATAGGGTCGTCGTCTGGAGCAGGTCGCAGGCGTTTCCGGAGGAATTATAGTCCGCGAGGTCGTCTACGAAGGACACGTTCCTGAGCGCACTTCCATCGTGGGGGGCCGCGGAGAAGAGCGGTGCGCCCCAGGCCTCGATCTCGTGGCCACCTGTCGGCTGGCCGTCGGCCTCGCCCGCTAAGGCGGCCTGGTCGATCGCCCTGAGCATGATGGCGAGGTAGGTGTTGAAGGCGACGCCGGAGTACGGCACTCCAGGTCTGGTGCTGCTCCGAGGCAGCTGGTAGTGCTGGGCGCTCTTGGCTGTCATCCAGTTGGTGGCGTGGTGGTCCGCGATCATGTGGCAGTGGTGCTCGTCGTCGATGTGCTGGTTGTTGTAGGCAGGCTGCTGGAGTCGTTCCGTTAGCGCTGGTCTAAGAAAGTCGGGGGTCTCAATGCGTTCGATGAGGTCGTTGAGCTCGTCGGCGGAGGTCGGCAGCTGCATGCAGGACTCCCTGATGACTGAGTGGAAGGCCTCCCGAAGGTCCAGGAAGGTGATGCTGCAGGATCTGGCTCTCTTTTGGCAGTCGCTGATGAAGGCGAGGCTGGTGTGGGTGATGAAGTCCGTCGCCATCTTGGGTCGGGCACCGCACTGGGTCGCTTCTAGGGGCTCGAGCAACAGGCCCTTCACGCGCGAGCGGAGGAAGCCGCTGTGCATCTTACTGATGGTGTTGTTGAGCAGGATGCCGCTATAGGATTTCTGTTGCTCCATGCCCCCCTGGCCCTTGTGGAAGTGCGTGGGGTACCCGCCCTTGGCGGCGATCGGCTCAGTGCTCTCGAAGTGGATCTTGGCCAGGACGGGGCGAAGCAGACGAGCCATCCCTTCGGGGTCGGCTCTGGACATGTCGTCGGTGATCTGGTCGGGGCTGCCTCTGCGTCCTCGCTTGGCGGCAGCGAGTTGGCTGGTCAGCTGGTGCTTAGGTATGATATTCTGGATATTCGGTTATGGTCCTTCGCTGCTGGTGCGCTTGTTGTAGTCTGCGGCCACTCCGTCGGCGTCCGTGGCGATGGCCTGCTCAATCTTGCCGTAGTAGTCTAGGGCGTGGTCGGCAATCTCGCTCTTCGTCGTAAAGGGGTTGCCGTCGTCGTTGCTGCGGATGAGGGGCGTCGGCGGCTTCTTGGGCTTCCGTCCTCCGAAGGCCAGGAGCCGCTTGGCGTGTAAAGCCTCCTCGCGCGGGGCGTGGTCGTCGATGGCGGTGCTCATCTCTTCGGCGGTCTTCCCGAGGAAGGCGTCGCGATCTCTCGTGATCCACTTCTGGAGGGTGGGCTTGGAAGTCCTGAGGAACTGAACGAGGGCGTCGAAGTAGTGCTGGGCATTGTCCGCGGCGCTGGCTGCGCCAGCTGCTTCGGCGCTAGTCGCGAGGCTGGGAGTGCTGAAGACGAGGGGGGCTGCCGCGAGCTTCGCGTAGTCGCTTAGGTCGGCCAAGAGTCCCGCGTCGGCGGGGTCAGGTAGCAGGGCGCCCTTCGCGATGAGCTTGGCCGTGTAGCGGAGCCTCTTCGCGCCGAAGTAGCTGATGACCCCGCTCTTCTCGGCGATCCGCGTCGTCTTGAGCAGCGAGCGGCGAGCCCTCAGGAGGGCGAATGGGCGCCTGGTGATGTAGGGCTTGTGTGGGGTGCGGCCGTGGGATCGGAAGCACTCATAGGCGGCCTTCGTGATCTTCTCAGTGACGGTGGCGAGGTGCTCGTTAAGATTGGTGGCCCAGGGCGGGTGCTGAACTGCGCTGGGCCCCCGGCGGAACTTCTTGCGGCGCCCTTCGTCGGCGAGCTTGCTCTCGTCTAGCTTCGGAACGCCTTTAGTGACGGACGAGACGATCTCGTAGGCGAGCTGCAGCTTGACAAGGTAGTGGTCGCCCTTGGTTTCTGGATCCTGGCCGCCGTCGATGCCCTAGAGCACGGGGCACGCGTCGACTGAGTCGAGGTAACTCTCGGGGATAGTAACGTAGTCGATGCGGTGCGGGTCCTTGTCCGAATGCCATGTGTGGCGCCCTGGCCCGTGGCTGACGAAGGTATTGGCGGCCGCGAGGGGGGTGGTCAGTAGAAGCTCATGAAGGCGGCGGCCGTTGGGGCCCTCGTTCTGCTTGAAGCCCTGGTCGCCGATGGCCGCGCTGGTGATGTTGCCTGTCCTGGCATTGGCGTCGAAGAAAATGATGCCCATTTGGTACTTCTCAGTAGCCTCGGTGAGCTTTTCCAATAGCGAACCTTCTCGGGCCCGAGGGCCTTCGAGCGCGGAGCGTGGGCGGCGGCCAACACGTGGTTAAAGCCAGGGGCCGCGACGCGGACGATGAGGAGCCTGGGGTCCTTTTCGATGACGGTGAACTGGTCGGGTTTGAAGTGGAACTCCTTCTTGCCGCACTTGCCGTGAGGCTTGCTGAGCAGGACGTGCAGCTCACAGCCATAGTTGAACCCCTTGTGGCCGCTAGAGATGAAGTGGTAGCTGCTGGCGTTGGCGCATCTGGCCTCGTCGCCCTGCTTCACGTCGCGCACGCCCCAGGGCGCCCTGGCCCCCTGGATACCGACGATGTGGAGGTCCTCATCGCACAGGCTGGCCATCGTGGGCTTGAGCTTGTTGATGTTCTCCTTTCTTCGCTTCGCTCCTTCCTTGGGCTCCCGCCCTGACTGGATGTCGAAGGTCGCGATGTTGATCTCGACTTCGGTCTTCCTGTCGCTGGACTCGGTGGGCTTGTGGAAGTGTCGGGCCTCGGCGGTCGTCTCGACCCTGCTGGCGGCGAGGCTGCCGTGGCCGAAGTCGGTGTAGGCCTCTCGGGTGTTGGGGTCTGCGTCGGGCAAGAGCCCCCAGTCTCGCTGGACTGCTCCGTCCATGATGCTGGCCCACTCGGGCCGGGGCACTGGAACTGCTCGTAGGCGTCCGTGGTTGGCGGCGGCGTCGGCAACCTCGTTCCACGGATTGTGCTCGTGGGCGTGGACGTGCTGCAGGTCAATCTTCGGGCTGACCATGTCGTAGAGAATGCAGAGAGTCCTGACGAGGTTGGGGTCGTGGGCGGTGAAGGCGAGCCTCTTCGCGAGCTGCAGGGCACCGAGCGAGTCCGTGAATATCGTGGTGATGCCGTCGGGGTTGTAGTGGAGCGCCCATGCGAAGGCCCAGATTAGGGCGGTGATCTCGACGTTCGTGGAGGTCGTCTCGTGGTCGCTGTTGTCCTTAAGGGCGATGTCGGTGCCGCTCTTGTGCTTTCCGACGATGGCTCCCTGGAAGCTGAAGCCGCGGTTGTCGTCGCCGACGATCACTACGGACCAGGCCTCGTCACTCGGCTGCTTCGGGTGCTTGGAGCCGTCGGTGAAGAGGTGGATATTTGCTCCTTCCTGGAGCGGTCGCTGTGGGTAGTGACGGAGCATGTAGTCGGCTGTCTCGTTGAGGCTCTCGTCGCAGAAATAAAAAGTGAGGTCGGGCGGTTGAGTCTGCTGGAGTGTTTGTCGGATGGTCGGTCGCTCGTCGAAGTGCACGCTACGCTGCTGAGGCGGTTGCTGGGGTGGCGTGGCAGGTGCTGTTGTTATCTGTTCAGGTGGTACTGGAGGTTTGGCGTTGGTGGTTCTGAAGGGTTGAGTGGCCTTCCCTCTCTCTAGTAGCGGGCGTTGGCACGTAGTGTGCGGTAGTGTTTGGGCGTCGGTCGTGTGCGTCGGCGTTGGGGGGGGGCGGGGTAGCAGAGGTGCGCGAGCGGAAGGGTTGTCTGGCGCATCCCCTGGTGGTTTGCTTGGTGTCGAGGTAGGTCGCTTCGATGTCGTGTATCTCTCGTGGATCTATCCAGGTCGCGGCCGCAGGAGCAGGCGGGGCTGCGTCGGCGCCTCTGGGCGTCTGCGCCGCGTCTTGGCAGCGCGTCCAGGGCATCCGCAGTGGTGCCGCTGTTGGCCCTGTGGCGTCGGTAATCCTAGCCTCTGGTGGGCCGTCTGAGGTCCTGAGGGACTCTCTTGAGGAAAAAGGTGGCGGTGCTGGTGGGCCGGCCTCGGGGGGTCTCCGAGGTCCAGCTGACGGGGGCCGGTGGAGCAAGTCTTGGTGCTGCTCCGCAGGTGGCTGCAGTCCTTGCTGCGGCCGCAGCTGCAGGCCTTGCTGCTGCTGTCGTCGGTGGGTCTCCTGGTAGGACGTCTCGGCGGGCCCTTCTTGAGAAAAAGCGTTCGGCGCCTTCGAGCCAAAGTGGCTGGTCGCCTGGTTCGCCCTCTGCTGGGCTCCTCTCTGGAGGGCGGGTCGGTCGGGTCGCTGGTGGCTGGCCCCGTCTGGCCTCGCTGGCCGCCCTGGTGGGGTTGTTGGTGCGCTGCTGTGGTCGGCCCAGGGGATGGTTCTGGGTCCGACGGTCAGTGCCATCGTGGTTGCTGGTGCCTGAGGGCTGCCAGGGGCGTGGTCCTGATCCCGAGGCGCCGCGGCTGAGTAGATTACCCACTCGCTGGCAGTGCTGAAGTTTTTTTTTTTTTTTTTTTTTTTTTGTGTCGCTGTCGCTGGTTGCGATGTGCTAGGTTGTGCTGCTGTTGGCGTCGCGCGGTGTGCTAACTCACAAGCTAACACCGCTGAGGCGGTCGGCGGGCTCCCAAGTGGAGCGCGTGGCTGTTGAGGCGTCTGGGCCTGTCGCTGAGTGGCTGGCACCGCACGGGTCGCGCAGCTCGTCTGCTGGGGCACAGTGGTTGCTCCGAGGAGCGGGTGGTTACGTATAGCCACTCTGAGCGGGCTAGGTGCTCGGTCTTCTGGTGAGGTTGTGTTGGGACCCCCCCCCCCCGCTGGGCCAGTCGCCCCCCAGCGGGGGGGGGCCCTGCTCGTTTTTTTTTATGCCGTCTCCGAGCCTGAGCCCGAGCTGCCCTCCTGCCCTTCAGGGTTGAAGCGCCTACGGTCCAGTGGATTGTCGAATCCATCGCCGTCGTCCAGGATGCGGACCTTGCGCGCTGGCCTGCTGTGGGTGCTCGTCCTGCGAAGGGCCGAAGGTGGTGCAGATCTGGCTCGGTCAGGAGTGGCGATGTGGAAGCGCGCGGGCAGGGGCTTCGGGGAGAAGGGCTGGGTGGGTGCGAAAGGGGAACCGTCTTCAAGCGTGATCGGGGAGCGCGGGGGGGAGCCTGGGTTCCCAAGTAGGGCGGTCTGTGCGTTCGTCGGTCGGAAGGGGCGCGGGGGGTCGAGGTCGTCGGGGAGCGGCACGGACTATGCACGCGGTGGGGGGTCGGCCAGGGGGGTCGGGGGTGGCAGGAAGGGCCCTGCCCCCCAGGGAGCCCCTGGGGTCGGTTGCTCGTCGGGGGGGGGGGGGGGGGGGTCGGCGATGCCTGGGCCGTTGGCGTGCGCGTCAGGTCGCCGAGGTCGCGGTCGTTGGGGTCGTCGAAGCTCTGGTCGTCGGCGTGTCGTGGGTGAAGTGTGGTGGGCGTCGCTGTCCAGAAGCTTTCGTGCGTCTTCGGGGTCTTCGTGGGCGTTCTGTCTCCTGCTACTGGCGTCGGAGCTACTTCCGCGGGGGATACGAGGTCGATGAGCGGGTCGAGTTGTTGCGGTGGTGGCATCGCTGGCGGTGGGGGTGGCGGTGGCTGCTGTGCTGGCGCTTGCGGCTGCGGGTTGCTGTGCTGATCGATGGCCTGGTCGAGCTGCTGCGTCATTGGGTACGTTCCGTTGTGGCCGAGCTCCGCGGAACGGTCGACGATGCTCTCGCCCCGCAGTGCCTGCACCTAATGATCTCCGTCTGGCAGCTGGTGTACTTACCGCAGGTCTGGCAGTGGCTGCAGTAGAAGGGCGACGTCAGTCCTGTCGAAGATCCTGATGATGAAGGAACGCCTCGGAGTGCTGCAACCTTCGGGGTTGTCATCTGGCCGAGCTCGGCGTGCGGTTCGCGGGTCACGTCGTAGCCGGGCACGTGCGACGGGGCGATAGCGTGGAGAGCGGAGCGCATGTGGTCCCGCTGGTGGGTCTCTTCATCGTCGACTTAGGCTTGCATCTTCTGCTTCTCGGTTTCCGTGGTGAAGGCGCTGGCGACGCTGTCGAGCGTGTCCGCGTCGATCCTGGGCGCGGTGCTGTCGAGCTGCTCCCTCAAGGTCTTCTCAAGGAGCACGTGGTGCACACGGTGCTCTTCCTGCTGTCGGGCCAGCTGTTCGCGGTGATGCACGCCCTGTGCTTGTCGCTGTGCCAGTGCGGCTCGTAGCTCCGTGTCGGCGATCTGCTGCTGCTGGTGCATCTCCGCCTCGTACTGGCCGTATCTCTCCAGGAACTGCTCGCGTTGGTGCTGGTCGCGCTCGGTCTTGTGCTGCAGCTGTTACTGGAGGGCCTGGGCCTCGTTGAAGAAGAGCTGGTGCTGTAGGGTTGCTCGTTGGCGCGCTGCTTCCTTGGCCTCGAGCTGGTCGTGCTTTTTCTGGATGTGGCGCTGCGCCTCGAGCTGGAGCTCCTCCTGCTGATGAACCACCTCGCGCTCCTTCTGGACCGCGGAGTGCTCCTCCAAGAGCTGCGTGGCCGCGATGGCCGACTGCTGGTGAAGCACTTGCTCTTGCTGGATCTCCTCTCGCTTTAGGTCTGCTTGGGCCTCCGCGATCTGCGCGGCGATCTCGTTTTTCCTTTGCATCTCCTGGGTTGCCATGGTGTGTACGGCCTGCTCCTCGAGGTGGCGGTGATGGTTCATCTGCTTGATCCTCTGGCCCTCGCGCTGCAGACGATCGCGCTCTCGATGGAGTTGCTCACGCTGTGTTTGCTGGCGGGCTGCTTCCTCGGAGGTAGTTGCCGTGCTGGTCTGGGTGACAGGTCTCCGCGCGGATGGCGTCGAGCATGGCGTAGGCCTCCTGGCGCTTCTGATCGCGCGTGATCTTCTGGCGCTCCAGGTCGTACCTCATCGCGCGCTCGTTGTTCTCCAGCCTCTGCGTTTCGTGCTGCATCTTCTCGACGTAGATCTGGTGGACAAGCTCTTTCAGCTGCTGGAACTCGCGTTCTTGCTGTGCTTCCTGACGGCGAAGTGACTTGTTGCCCCTTGACATGGCCTGCTCCGTCGCGTTCAGTGCCTTCTGGGAAAGCTCCTGCTCGTGGTGCTCGAGCCTGTCGTGGCTTTGCATCTTCATCTCGGCGAGGCGCTGGCGCATGGACTCGACCTCCTCTTCGTACTTTTCGGTATTCTTGCGGAGCCCGGCGTTGGCGATCTGGACATGCTTGCTCCTCCCTCGGCACGCTTCTTCCTCCTTCTGCTTGAGCTGCTCCGCGATGCTGGGTGCTGGTGAGGCCGGCCTGCTCGAGCGCGAAAATGGAGACTCTCGGCTGGCCCGGCGGCGAAATGGGGCATCGGCTCTCCTGGTTTTGTACTGCTTCTGGTCGTCCTCAGAGTCGGCTTCGCAGTCCGCGTCGGTTTCGGCGGCATTCTCGAGCTTCACATCCGTGACGAGGCGCTTCAGGTCTGCGATGAGCTGGGTGTTGAAGTCCGCCTTGGCTTTCAGAGCTTCCGTTTTCTCCGAGATGTCTTTCTCTTCTTTTGCCAGCGCTTCGATCTGAGAGCGGTAGTGTTGAAGCCGTACGTGTGGGTCAGTAGCCATCGCCAACATGCACTTGATCACCGAGGCCTCCGTGATGAGTTTGCTGGCGTCGACCTTGGCCGACTGCGCGCCGTGGATCTGGTCGGCGACTCGACCGAGCCGCTGTTGAAGGCTCCTCGTCCAAAGCTTCCTCATATCGGGGTCCTCTGGCGGCAGACCGAAGGATTCGTGGTCGCGGGATTCGGAATGCGGGAGCTCTAGCACGGAGTCGGCGATGGCCTGTTGCTTCTTGCTGAGGGTGTGCTCCTGGATATACACGGCGGCCTGCTTCCTGGACTCTGAGGGATTCCAGGAACTCCTGTTCTTGGCGGCCTGCTTCCTGGACTCTGAGCGATTCCATGAACTCCTCCAAGGCCACGGCTGCGCCCCGACGGCTGGCCCAGGGTGTGTGGTCCCTTCTCCTGACCACATTTCCCCTGAGCCTCGCGCTGGCGCCTGGGCTGTGGACCCTGCTCCTGTCCACCTGGGCCCTGCGCCGCGCGGCTGCGACGGCTCGAGGTGTGTGGTCCCTGCTCCTGACCTCCTTTCCCTCGAATCGCCGCGGGGCTGCTGCTGCTTCCAGCTCTGCGTCATCTTGTCGACGGGCTGGTCCAAGTACTTCTGGGCACTGTGATGCTCTGACAAGGTCCAGGCGGCAGCTGCCACTTTCAATAGTGTCCTGGCGTGGCCCCGCGCGATGCGGGCCCTCCTGTGCCAGCTTTCTTCCTTCTGCCTAGGCGTCTTTCCTTCACCTGGGCGTCGCGGCGGCGGCGCCTCTTCTTTAGCGTTGCTTTATTTCTTTTATGGCGCTGCGGCGCGCTGGCCCGGGCTGACGGGGCTGGCCGAGCGAGGGGACGACACGACCCCACCGCGACGGCGGGCCCCTCCTCAGCCCGTGGTTTCCTCCTCCTCCTCCTCCTCCTCCTCCTCCTCCTCCTCCTCCTCCTCTTCCTCCTCCTCCTCCTCCTCCTCCTCCTCCTCCTGCGGGGTTCCGAACCCAGGACCCCCTCGCGTCGTGAAAAAGTGGCGGCGGGCGGTGCTTGACAGGTTTCGGCCTCCAGAGGGGCCCTTGCTGGGCCCCGGGACCGAAAAAAAGACGCGGGAGAAAAAGCGGCCCCTAGGAACGGGTCGGCACCTCCGGGGGTCGACGTCGTGACAAAGATCACCACGTCGGGGGCCCCAAGGATAAAATATGATACATGAGGAAAAACCCAATCAGGGCTGTAGGGCTAGGGGGCTATAGGGCTATTGAGCTATAGGGCTATAGAGCTATAGGGCTATAGAGTTGTAGGGCTATAAGGCTATTGGGCTGTAGGGCACCCCCGGGCATCCCCGGGCACCCCTGGGCACGCCCAGGCACCCGGGCACCCGGGCACCCCCGGGCACCCCCTGGGCAACCGGGCGTGCAGCGAAAATCGGCGGCCAACCTCACCCCCGGGCACCCGGGCGTGCGGCGAAAATCGGCGGCAAATCGAACCTAGCCATATGAATCCGCTAGGACCCCTACAGAGGCAAGCTCTGATTGGGGAAAAAAATGAAAGGGGCCCCTGGATGAGTTCATCATATGTGAGGCCCCTCGCCCTGGCGGCCCCATGTTTGGACGCCCCACATGGATCCAGAAACATGGGTATGGTGCCCAACATCAAGGGCTGTCCAGCACCGACAGCGGCCGCTGTTGGGCAGGTGGCCATCTCAAATGTCGACAACGCCCGCGGCGGCGCCGACAGCGAGCCCAGCGATCAGAGTGGGCAGGAAATGCTGTCGGTCCTTGCCCCTGCTCTTTCCGTGCAACTGTACCAGCCTTCCCTCAGGTAGGGAGAAGGAAACGCACCACCACCACCACCTGGAGGATGAAGGCAGAGGGTTGTCAGGGGTTGTGGCGGTGGTGTATATCGTCTCGGGCGCTCTCGCGGGACATCATGCACACCTGCATCCCGCATTCCAGCTCATCCTGAATCCCCCCAAGATTGTGATGCTGGTGCGCTTCCTGCTCCCCCACAGCTAATCAGAGGAGAAAGAAGGTACCGATACTGCTATCCTTCGCCCGTTCTTCCCTTTTTGGGGCATCCTGGTAGGCCCTCGTCGCCACTGCTGGATTCGCGAGTTCCTTGGGACAGCAATGTCGGCACCTATTGGTTGCCAAAATCCCAGACCCCAGACGTTATGATATTTTGCGACGTCGACCCCCAAAGGTCAGGACCCCTTCCCTGAGAACGGAATCTCATCCCGAATCTTTTGGTTGACGTTCCCGAGGCCCTGGTAAGGGCCCCCAGAGGCCGGACATGAAGAAACACCTCCCGTCCTGACTTTTTTTCAGGAGGGACAGAAACACACAGACACAATTAATCCTCCATTCCCCAGAAAATATAGGGAAAATGTGGGAATTGGGGGGAAGACAAAAACCCAGAGAATAGAAGAAAATGTGGGGCATCATCTGATTTGTGTGCATCTGTTTGTGTGTCCTGGGGCCCCTTCATTTTTTACGACGCGAGGTGGCCTGGGCAATCGGGGCTCCATGCTTTCGAGCCGCCGAGATTGTGGAGGCCCTGGCGCCCGCGGCGCCGCGCTCGGGCGCCTGCGCGCCCGCGGCGGGGCGCGCCGCCCGCGCGCCCGCGCGGGGGTCGGCGCGCACGCGGCTGCGCGGCGGCGCGGCGGCGGGCCCGGCCGAGTGCGCCGCAGGGCTGCCGCTGCTCGCTCGGACGACGCGCCGCGGCGGCTCCGCGGCGGGTCGGGCGGGGGTCGATCGAGCCGGAGATTTGAGTGATTCTCCCGTCGAGCCAGGGGCGATTTGGCAGGGGGCCAGCGGGCCTCCGAAAGCCGGATCTGGCTGCGACCCTCGGCGCGGGCCGCGCCCGGCCTCTCGGGCGCGCCCTGGGGGGTGGGCTCTGGTTTGGCGTCAAGTCGGGCGTGCCCCCCTCCAGGGGGCATCTGGGCGAAATATAAAACATACGCCAAGAATGATCGAAAATAATCCAGAATGGAAAACAAATCGTCCCCTGAGGATTTTTGTCTCTATTTTTGCATATTCCCCCCGTAGAAAGACAGGCCCGACTTAAATTCAGCTGCGATCCTCGGCGCGGGCCGCGACGGAGCCGCCGGAGGCCTGCCGGGCCTCCCGGGCCCTTCGGGCGCGGCCGCGTCGTCCTCGGTGGACGGCTCATCCACTGGGATGGCGAGGGTCTCGGACCAATGCCTCGTGAGGGGCAGCGTAGGGTTAAGTCGCGCGTGTCCTCCTGCAGCCGGATTTTGGACGACAACTGAATTACCCTGGCGACGTGCCCACTCCCTGCTCAATGCGGGGCAGGAGTAGCTTGGGAGACTTGACGAGAAGGCGGCGACGCGACATGGACGCATATACTTCTGCGAGCGCCATTCGGACGGTTCGCAGGTCCCCAATCAGGGGAAAAACGATGAGTAACTAAGTGAACCCATGAGTCACAGAGGAAGACGCAAGGTCTTTTAAAGGAGACTGTGGGCAAGGGGCTCGAAACGTCAGCAGGGCAGCAACAACAGGACATGGCCGCCCAGGGACGGCGAGGTCCCGCTCAGGTCCACGCAGTGCCTCACGCCGCTGGACCCACCAGCAGCCTTCGAAAGTGGCGAGCCCACCAGCAGCCCTCGAAAGTGGCGACAGTTTCGCAGATCGCAGCCCCCCAGGGACGGCGAGGTCTACCTCAGGTCTGCGCGGTGCCTCAACCCGCTGGACACACCAGCAGCCCTCGAAAGTGGCGACAGTTTCGCAGATCGCAGCCCCCCAAGGACGGCGAGGTCTACCTCAGGTCTGCGCGGTGCCTCACTCCGCTGGACCCACCAGCAGCCCTTGAAATTGGCGACAAATTCACAGATCGCAGCCCCCTAGCGACGGCGAAGAGAAGGCAGGAGGAGGGAGGAGGCAGGAGGAGAAGACGCGACCGCAGTGCTCTAAGAAGGGTTGGGAAACATAGTCCAACATATGTTTAAAACACAACACAAAAAATGTCAAAAGCAATTGACACATCGTCGCCTGACTGTTATTTTTTTTAAAAAATGTTAGAACGTTCCTCCTGTAGAGGAACAGGCCCGACTTAAGCGTAGGGGTCCAGACACGCTCGCGCCGCGAAAGAAAGTACGACGAACGTGTTTTTGTTCCAGATGTGTTTCCCCCTGGTCGGCCTCGGCCTCTGGGAGCCCTCTCGCTGGGCCTCGGGGCCGTCAAGAAAAACTGCTCGGGGTGAAAAACACTGGCCAGAGGTCGGGACCTCCAGGAGCCGCGTGCGGCTTCAAATCTCCAACGATTTTGGTGTTGCATTCTGGTGTTGCTTCCTCGGTGTCGGCGCATGGGGTCGGGCCTCTTGGCCATCAAACATGGGTCCGTGGCGAAGACCTGGCCCTGGGGAAGGGGTTGGGAGCTCTGGAACCGCGCATTGCAACAATCAGATCCGCAGATGGAAAAGGGGGGCGGGAACCAGCTAAGGGAGGGGGGGGACATCGAGCTGAAATCGGCGATACATCGTCAATGCCCCTGATTGTGTATCCGCACGCTCCAGGGCAGGGTGGCCTATCGGGCCCCCATCGGCGATCAGTGGGCGATTGGGGGTCGAAGAGATCCCCCCTTAGCCTACTTCTCCCCCCACCTAACGTTGCCATTGACTGCCTCAGCGGGGCGCTCGCCAGCAGCTCCGCCAGCCTAGTGCGGCGCTTGCTGCTGCCGTCATCCCGCCACTCGCGGCGCATGCAGCCGTCGATCAGGGTTCTCAGGTCGTCCGAGAAGGAGGTACTGATTGGCGCGTAGCGGCCGTTCAGGATCTTTATCAACAGAGCTGCGTGGTTCTTGGCCTCGAACGGGTGCCGCAGCGCGCACATCTCGTACACGACGCACCCGAAGGCCCACACGTCGCTCAGCTCGTTGTAGGGCTGTTCCTCGCACAGCTCGGGCGACAGGTAGTAGGGGGTGCCCACGAATGTGTGCGCGAACTGGGTGTTGTGCCCTAGCACCCGCGCCACCCCGAGGTCCCCCAGGCGCACGTCGTCGGCCGATGTGAGGAACACGTTGAGGCTCTTGATGTCCCGGTGGAGGATCCTGTGCCGGTGCAAGTGGCGGAGCCCGAGGGCGATCTGGATGGTGAACTTCCAGACTGTACGCTCCTCTTGGGGCTTGCCGGACGGTGCGGCGAAAGAACGTTGCGGTGATCTTGAAATCTCAAAAGGACCCTCCCCACGGTCCGCCACCGCACGGCTATGGACCTGGGAGGCCCCCAACCGCCCGAGGCATTCTCGGAGAACGACCCAGGTCCCCAAACCGTGCGCTAGTCCGGGAAGCCCACTTGCTCGCCCGATTGTGCCGTCACCGCACCGTTCTCTATTGGGGAAGCCAAGGGCTGCCCACACTGCTACTCCACGGACCTCGTCTGAGGTGCGTTCCGTCCAAGACTTCTGGGCGGATCCAGCCGCGGCAGCGAGCGAAGGGCAGCGCTGTTGGCAGCTCTTCAACCCTGGCATTAGGTCGGGCGTGTCCCCCTACAGTCGGATTTTGGACGAAAAATGAAACATACCTAAACCATATTCATATATATATATATATTCATGTTTATATACATGTATACATACATCTATAGATACACAACAAATGCTCCCAGGCTATCTTTGGACTATTTTTGAATCTTCCACCTGTAGAGAGACAGGTCCGACCTAACCCTGGGACCTCCAATCTCCTCGACGAGGCGGCCCGCCCGAGACTTTAGGAACTGGCTCAGGTCGCCGTTCTCGCAGAGCTCCATGACCATGTGCAGGGAGTCGGCTTCCAGGAAGGACGCCACGTACTGCACGATGTAGTCGCTGCCAGAGGACACGCGCCGCAGCAACTTCACCTCCTGCAAGCGAGGGCAAGACCCAGACATGCGACGTCCTGATTTTTTTTCGAGGACGGCGTCCCAGAAGTCCCGACCCTTTCCCCAGGACCGGCTTTTCGTCCTGAGTCGTTGTTTGACGGTCCCGAGGCCCGGCGAGGGCCCCCCCCGGGGCCGAAAATAGCCAAAAGCCTCCCGCGCGGATGTTTTTTCGACGCGATCATGTCTGGGAAGGAAAGACGCCATGAGCATCAACTGTTGGAGGCTCGCGCGGGCTTCTTGGATCCGAGCTGGACACCTGTCCCCCGGCGAGCGGAGCGCGGCCATGGGCGGCGCAGGAGGCGCCGCCAGGGGGGGACCAGCGCAGATCCAAGAAGTCACCGCGGACCACCAGACGTTGCAGTGTATGATGCTTCTTCTTCGTTGGTCCTGGTCGGCCTCGTCGCGGGCCCGCTTCTCCATCCCCTTGAGCTGGATCTGCTTGCAAACGAACGCCCTGCCGTCCGACTTCCTGCGGACCCGGAACACGACGCCGAAACTGCCGCGGCCCAGCTGGGCGCCGAACTCATAGTCGGCGCGCGGCATCTACGCGCAGCGGCAGCACCCGAGGGCGAAAGGCAACGGACCGTCCAGAGCGACCCACTGTGCTTTAAGCAAGGACCGACCGTCCTGACATTCCTACAGGCCTACCACGGCATGTTCTTAGACCAAGAGAAGGTTCGAATACTTATCCTGGCGAAGGACCCAACCATACGCAGATGTAAGTACCGCAATTGTGATTATCTCTTGCGGTGTACCTCCCTAGCCACATGCGAACGCCGCCACTGAGGCCTTCGGTGGAGCTCCCTGTGGGCCCACGAAACGTGTGAGGGATGGTAAAATCGCATGCGAATGCAGCCACTGTGGCCTTCGGTGGAGCTTCTTAGGGGGCCACGAAGCGTGTGAGGGGTGTGCCGAAATGGGAGTGGAACGCGAACGCAATCACTGGGGCCTTCAGTGGAGCTCCCTGTGGGGCCACGAAACGTGTGAGTGATGTGCCGAAATGGAAGTGGAATGGCATGCGAATACAGCCACTGGGGCCTTCGGTGGAGCTTCTTAGGGGGCCACGAAACGTGTGAGGGGTGTGCCGAAATAGGGGTGGAACCGCATATGAAAGCAATCACTGGGGCCTTCGGTGGGGCTCCCTATGGGTCCACGAAACGTACGAAGGGTGTACCGAAATAGTGGTGGTACCGCATGCGAATGCAGCCACTGGGTCCTTCAATGGAGCTCCCTGTGGGGCCACGAAACGTGTGAGGGGTGTGCCGAAATGGGGGTGGAACCGTATGCGAACGCAACCGCCGCTGGGGCCTTCGATGGCTCCCTATGAAGCCACGAAACGTGTGAGGGATGTGCCGGGATGGGCGTGGAACCGCATGCGAACGCAATCACTGGGGCCTTCAGTGGAGCTCCCTGTGGGGCCACGAAGCGTGCGAGGGGTGTGGGGGGTGACGGGAGGAGGGAGGAGGAGGAGGGAGGAGGGCGAGGAGGAGGAAGGGCAGAAGGAGGGGCAGCGGGAGTGAGGCGCGGGGCGCGGTCGCTTCCAAACGAGGACCCAGCACCACAGGATGGTTGGGAACAGACGCAGCGTTCTTGGAACGTAGGGCCGATGTTGGCCAGAGTGGGCCCCGAGCAACGTGTTTCTAGAAATCTGTGCGGTGCGACCTATGTGCGGCAGTCTATGTGGTGTAACCCACTCTGCTGCACTTGAAATCGTCATCTCCACTGCTCGCGCAAGCATCCCACCCTCCCACCCGCAACCTGGTTTGCAACATCTCTTGAGACCGTGACGGTGGGTACCAAACGGCAGTTGGCAGCGACAGCGGCGCCGACGACGACAGCGACAACGACGACGACGCCGCCGCCAACAACGACTACGACGACGCCGACGACGTCTCCAACGACTTCGACGACGCCGACAACGACGACGACGACGACGACGACACCGACTACGACGACGACGACGATGACAACGACGACGACGATGACGACGCCGACGACGACGACAACGACGACACCGACGACGACGACGACGACGACGTCAACGACGCCGACGACGACGACGACGACGACGACGGCGGCGACGACGACGCCGGCAACGACGACGACGACGACGCCGACGCCGACGACGACGACGAAGACGACGACGACGACGTCACCAACGAAGACGACGACGAGGGAGGAGGGAGGACGACGACGACGACAACGACGACAACGACAACGACGAGGGAGGAGGGAGGGCGGCGACGACGCGAACGACGAAGGAGGGAGGACGGCGACACCAACGACGACAACGACGAGGGAGGAGGGAAGACGACGACGACGACGACAACGACGACGACGACGACGAAATAGAAGGGACGACGACGAGACGCCGACGACGGACGACGACGACGACGACGAGGGAGAAGGAAGGACGACCACGGCGACACCGACGACGGAAACGACGACAACGCCGAAGAGGAAGACGACGACGACAAAGAAAGACAGAGGACGACGACGGCGACGACGACTACGACGAGGGAGGAAGGACGGCGACGACGACGACGACGACGCAAGAGCGCGCGCGCACGTTTTTGTTGAACATCCGTGTTGCGAAACCTTGTGTTTTGTAGGTTTTTTGGACACACGATGTTGAAATCCTTCCGAAGCCGATGGGTTTTGAGGGATTTCGGCGTACGCGCGCGACGACGCACGCGTCTGCACTTCGTCCCGTTCTTTGCAGAGGGTTCTCGCGACGGCACACGCGCCGACGACGACGACGACGTCAACGACGCCGACGCCGACGACGACGACGACGACGGCGGCGACGACGACGACGCCGCCGCCGACAACAACTACGACGACGCCGACGACGTCTCCAACGACTTCGACGACGCCGACAACGACGACACCGACGACGACGACACCGACGACGACGACGACGACGATGACATCGACGACGATGATGACGACGCCGACGACGACGACAACGACGACAACGACGACGACGACGACGACGACGTCAACGACGCCGACGCCGACGACGACGACGACGACGACGGCGGCGACGACATCGACGCCGACGTCGACGACGACGAAGACGACGACGACGCCGACGCCGACGACGACGACGAAGACGACGACGGCGTCGCCAACGAAGACGACGACGAGGGAGGAGGGAGGACGACGGCGCGCGACAACGACGACAACAACGACAACGACGAGGGAGGAGGGAGGACGGCGACGACGCGAACGACGAAGGAGGGAGGAAGGACGGCGACGACGACAACGACGACGACGAAATAGGAGGGACGACGACGAGACGCCGACGACGGACGACGACGACGACGAGGGAGGAGGAAGGACGACCACGGCGACAACGACGACGGAAACGACCACGACGCCAAAGAGGACGACGACGACGAATACGAGGAAAGACAGAGGACGACGTAGGCGACGACGATGACGACGCGGGAGGAGGGAGGACGGCGACGACGACGACGACGACGACGCAAGAGCGCGCGCGCACGCTTTTGTTGAGAATCCGTGTTGCGAAACCTTGTGTTTTTGTAGGTTTTTTGGGCACACGATGTTGAAATCCTTCCGAAGCCGATGGGTTTTGAAGGATTTCGGCATACGCGCGCGACGACGCGCGCGTCTGCAATTCGTCGCAGTTTTTGCAGAGGATTCTCGCGACGGCACACGCGCAAGGGCGTTCGACAGATTTCGACATGCGCGCGCGCGAAGCCCGTTTGGTTGCATTTTGTGAGAATCTTGAAACATCCTATGGTTTTCTTAAGACTTCGCAAGAGCTCGCGCGTAAGCTTGTTTAGAAAACCAGTGTTGCAAAACCCTGTCTTTTCTTATATGGTTTTTGGAAACTCGATTGCGAAACCCTTCCGACACCGAGGGTTTTTGAAGGATTTCGGCATGCGCGCACGACGACGCGCGCGTGTGCACTTCGTCTCATTTGTTGCAAGGGATTCGGGAAACAGTGTTATGTTAGAACAAGAGGTGTCCCCGCGTATCGTTTTCTACAAAGGAACCTCAAGGGGGTCGATACCGGTTCCCCGGGGATAATGAAAATTCATATTTAGGATGGACATGTGGTCATACTTATATGTGAGTTACATACCCGAAAGGGGGGCAGATAACGCCGGGGGGGAGGGTAGAGTCTTTTTCTTTAACAAGGAGAATCAATCACTTGCTCAACGTGAAACTGTCCTCTCCACTGCTCGTGCAAACATCCCACCCTCCCATCCGCAACTTGGTCACAAGACCGCTTCAGACCGTGCCGGTAGGTACCAAATGGCACTTGGCAACGACACCGACGCCGACGACGGCAGCGACAACGACGACCACGACGCCGCCGACAACGACTACGACGACACCGACGGCGTCTCCAACGACTTCGGCGACAACGACAACGACGACGACGACACGGACGACGACGACGAAGACGACGACGACGACGATGACAACGCCGACGACGACGACGCCGACGACGCCGACGACGACGACGACCGACGACGACGACGACGACGCCGACGACGACGACGAAGACGACGAAGACGACGACGACGACGTCGCCAACGAAGGCGACGACGACGAGGGAGGAGGAAGGACGACGACGGCGACAACGACAACGACGAGGGAGGAGGGAGGACGGCGACGACGCGAACGACGAAGGAGGGAGGACGGCGACACCAACGACGACAACGACGAGGGAGGAGGGAAGACGACGACGACGACAACGACGACGACGACGACGACGGCAACGAAATAGGAGGGACGACGACGAGACGCCGACGACGGACGACGACGACGACGAGGGAGCAGGAAGGACGACCACGGCGACACCGACGACGGAAACGACGACAACGCCAAAGAGGACGACGACGACGACGACGACGAGGAAAGACAGAGGACGACGACGGCGACGACGACTACGACGAGGGAGGAGGGACGGCGACGACGACGACGACGACGACGACGGAAAAGCGCGTGCGCACGTTTTTGTTGAAAATAGGTGTTGCGAAATCTTGTTTTCTTATATGTTTTTTGACACTCGATTTTGAAATCTTTCCGACACCGAAGGTTTTTGAAGGATTTAAGCATGCGCGCGCGACGACGCGCGTATTTGCACTTCGCCCCATTGTTTGCAAGGGACTCTTGAAACTTATGATTGTTAATGCACGGTTGTGCACGCATCGTATGTTTTGCACAAAATGGGGGGGGGGGGCGATACCGGTTTGGCTGGGATAATATGAACTCACAGGTAGGATGGACGCTGGGTCTGAATCCTATGTGTTCCGCATCGGTTCCCAGGGGGTCTTGAACCCCGGGGGAGAGGGTGGTAGAACCTATCTTCTTTTTAGAAAGGTAATTGTATGTGAAAGCAAATTATGATGCGCAGTCCATATTGTGCGATCTACCATGCGCAATCTACGTTATGCAATCTAGGTGGTGCAGCGTATGTGGTGCAATGCAATCGTTGTGGAGCAATATGTGTGGGCAAATCGATGTGGTGCAATCCATGTGGTGCAACCTAGATAATGCAATAG